TCCTGATGGCCTATGGCTTCTTCCCTGCCACTCCTTCCTCTGGGTACCATTTCCTCCTCGAACCACATTCCTTGGTAGTTCTTTCAGGTTAGGGCTGTACATTGTAAACTTAGAGTTGTCTGATAATATTACTATTTTTGTTCTTTTTCATTAAAATATTTGAGATAATTATCAGTTCACATACAATTTTAAGAAAAAGTGTAGTCAGATTCCAGGGCACTGATGTTGCCACAGATACAGAACATTTCTGTCACCATAAAGATCTCTCCTGTTGCCCTTTTATAGGAACACACTCTTCCTTTTTCCCCTACCTCTTCCATAGCCCTTGGCAACCACTACTCTAGTCTTCATTTCTATAACTTCAAAAATGTCATATAAAAATGTCATGCAATGTGTCATCTTTCAGGGTTGACTTTTTCACTCATTGTGCTTCTCTGGAGATTCGTCCAGGTTATTGCAATATCAAGAGTTCATTCCTTTTTTACTGCTGAATAGTATTCCTTGTTATGAATGTGTCAGTGTAGTCATTCACCTGTTGAAGAACATCTGGGTTGTTTTCCAGTTATTGACTGTTACAGCTAAAGCTGTATAAACGTTCATGTTCAGGATTTTGCATGAACATAATTCTTCATTCTTGCAGGGTACATGCGAAGGAGTGCAATTTCTGAGTCATATGGTAAATGCGTGTTTAGTTTTTCAGGAAACTGCTAAACTTATTTTCCAGAGTAGCACTACCATTTTACATTGACAGCAGTAATGTGTGAATGATCCAGTTTCTGTGTATACCTACCAGCATTTGGTGGTGTTATTATTCTTTTATTTTAGCCATCTGATAGATGGGTAAAGAGATCTCATTATGGTTTCAATTTGAATTTCCCTAAGTATTAGCTAACGATGTTAAACATATTTTCATGCACTCAATTGCATTTGTCATTTTCCATGAAGTGTCTCTTCATGTCTTATGCTCATTTTCTATTCCCTTAATAGTTCTAAGGCTATTTAAGTGATCTGTTTTATGTTGGGTGAATCCTGGTAGTTTGTGTTTTCAAAGAATTGATTCATTTCATCTAAGTTGTCACACTTATGTGTATAAAGTTGTTTTCTTTTTTTGTTAGCCTTTTGATGGCTGCAGTGTCTGTAGTGATATGCCCCATTTTGTGCCTGATATTGGCTATTTGTGCCTTTTTTTTTTTCCTGTCAGTCTTTGTTATATAAATGGGTTAAAGACAGCCCCTGGACATGGGTCCCTGTTTCTTTCTTCTTCCCTCAAGCCGGGGTATTAGTTCAAAGCCTGTCAGCACCAAGCTCAAATTCTTATACACTCACTTGCTTTAAATGTTGGTCCAAAGAAGCATAATGTTTAGCTATTTAGAGAGTGCTGCTTTGCATGCCCTGTGAAATGGCACTCACCACTGCTGACCTGTGATAAGACTAATTCTGGGGCTAAGGTCTCAGAATGCTGTTGCCCATCAGGCTGCTGAGCAGCAGCAGTGCATCCTCTTTCCAGCTCCCTTTTCCCTCACAGATTCCCTTATACTAGCCCCCTTCTTGGGTGCCTTGTCTAGAAGGGTCTGCTGTAAGGGACATCCCCTCCCATGCAGCCTCGCCAAGTGTGTATGCTGCCCAAATAGTGTGCTGTTTGCCTGGTCCACTTCACCGTCATGTCTTTCCTCCACCTGCCCCAGATCCTTAAACTTGCTGCAGTTTTGCTAGAGGTTTGTCAATTTTACTGGTCTTTTCAACCAACCAGCTCTTTGTTTCATAGATTTTCTGGTTTGGGTTTTATTGATTTCTGCTCTTTGGTATTTCCTTTCTTGTGTTTGCTTTATTTTGTTCTGTTTTCTAGGTTCTTGATGGTAGGTGCTAAGATGATTAAGCCTTCTCTTCTTTTCAGATATTTGCATTTCACACTGTGAATTTTCCTCCCAGCACTGCTTTGATTGTATTCATTCTGCTCTTTTGTTCATTCTGTTCTGTAGCCCATTGTTGACTCTGTCATTTTAATGACTGAATTTTTTATTTCTAGATGCATTCTGGAAATTTATCTTCTCTTTCTTATTCCTATGGGTTAAATTCCTTTTTTACTCATCAATTGTCTTTCATATACTTTATCAGGTTCTTTTTTAAGTAAGTTCTTAAAAGTATAATCTCTCTGCAGATTGCTGACTCACTCATGGTGATCCTTCGCTTTTTCTTGAATGTTTTATAATTTTGGGTTGTGAGCTCATCTTCAGAGGGGTCATATGTATGGGAATTCTGTAGACCTTGGGCTGAGGTCCTTCCAGAGTAATCTACATTTACTTCCAAGTGTCCCAGTAATAGCACATTCTGGAGTCACTTTTATTGTTATTTTCTTGAACTGGATGTTCATTGGCCTCTTGGATATTTAAATTTGAATTTCAAGTCCATCTGCAGCACCATCTGATGATTAATCTTCAAAGGGAGTGTTTTTCCCATTCTGCTGAGGGGCATGTAAGAGTATATTGAACAAGATTGAGAAAGTCAGATACTTTCATTGTAAGTTGTCAGTCTTAACCATCTTCCCTTCAATCTTGGATTATAAAAACTGTTCAATGAAAAGAATTAGCCTTGGCATATTTTTTTGGTCTGTGCAGGAAAATATACATAAGATTTACCATTTTAACCATTTTTATTTATTTTTTTTTTAAAGATTTATTTGTTTATTTATTTATACAAGCACTGGGTACAGTCAGAAGCGCAGGAGGGTGAGAGAATTCACCAGAGCCAGAGCGGGGAGCAGAGCAGGCAGAAGGACCGAAGTACACTGCTGAGGGGAGCAGCGGGCGGCAGGAGAGGTCTGCGCGCCATGCGGGACCCTCCTCCGGTGGCCGGGGAGCAGCCGGGGATCGAACTGGCGCTGCAGAGGCTGCGGGCAGCTTTGCAACCCAGCGCTCAACCACTGAGCCACCGGGGAGGCCCATTTTTTAACCATTTTTAAACCTACAGCTTAGTGGTATTAAGTATATTCACATTGTTGTACAACTATCATCACCACTATCTCAAGAACTTTTTCATCTTTCTAAGTGATATGCATATCCATTCACAATTACCCCATTTTCTCTTCCCTTAGCCCCTCGGCAAACGACTATGGTTTTGGAAACATGCTTTCTAGCTCTATGAGTTTGTGCTGGGTGCCTCATAGAAATGAAACCACCGAGTACTTGTCCTTTTCATTTAACACGAAATCCTGAAGTTTCATGCATTGTTGTAGCATGTGTCAGAATTTCCTTCCCTTTGAAGGTTAAATAGTATTACATTGTATGTATATGCCATATTCTCTTTATCCATTTTTCTGTCCATGAATACTTCAGTGGCTTTCTTACTTTGGCTACTATGAATAATACTGCTTTGAGCATGGGTGTGGTGTGTTTTCAAACACATAATGCGAAGCTTAAAACTGTTGGTTCTTTAAAATGCTGACAATTCCAATAGTACTATTCTTTAAGTAATTATAACTATTTAAAAATCATGAGGGTGAAAAGGCTTAATGATTGATTGATGATGACTAGAGCTCTTCAATGGGGCTAGGGAAAGCATCAGAAAGAAGAGGACTATTTGAGAACTACACTGGGGGAAAGAAGGAGCTGGGGCAGAGTGTGCTTGTTCTGGGTCTGAAAAAGAAGGGTGGAGGAAACAGTTTCAAAGGGCCAGGAATGAGAGATCCAGAATACTGAGTGCAGGATCTTCAGGGCCAAAAAGTGAGTCTGGTGGCATGAAGGCACAGGGGTTAGAGATGGTGGGTTAGGATCAAAGTGTGAGGGTGGGAAAGAGATTTGGTGCTCTGCAGCTCCTGGGCTGCGCAGAACTGACGTTCTTTGGTAGCAAGGAAAAAATGAACCTGGAAAGAGGGGATAAAGGAGGGGACTGATGCTATGTGGGATCCCTGGCCCTCCTTATTCTCAGGATATTGTTTTGGTGCCCAGAGTTCCTGCTTGTCAACTAGATGTAGGGTCATGCAGGAAGCCTCTCTCTCATCCAGGCCAAAAGTCCTGGTATGAGGAACATACTGGGAAACCAGTATCTGCTGAAAACAGCAGGCAGATATTAGAATAGAAATAATATGCCTTGACTAGCAGGAGCAATGGAGCCCCCTGGCAATAGACCCTGGGCACTCCACCCTAGCTTACATCCCCAGTACCACCCCCACATGTGTACACTCCTGGTGTACTTGCCCCACCTTTGTACCTGATTCCAGTGATTATAACTGTCTTCGGATGGGGGCTGCACACTACACACCTGTGTAGCCCCTCTAGGCTTCTCATTGCTCCACATGGACTTTGGGTAACTCTGTCATCCCAGCCGCTCCAACTCTGCCGCCCTGTGAGGCGACAGTGCTACATAGTACTAATTAGCATATCCCATTCGGGAAATCCTTTATTTACATTTTATGGAAAATAAAATCCCAAGTTAAATATATCACACTATGTAAAGAAGAAACTACTGCTCTCTCCATATTGAAGGAGGCAAATCTCACACTTCAGACTAAGCAGGCTAAGTCACAGTAGATGGGGAATAGGGCAAGACAACAATAATAATCTGCAAGCATGGGGGGAACTTATACCTGTTTTTAAAAAAGAAAAAGGAAGTAGGCTTTTAGTCCACCATATTTTTTCTTTTGTACAGAAAACACTTGAAATTTTTCTGGTCACTGTGTTGCTTATTTACTTGAGTGGTGGCTAGCAGAGGGACAGATTTTATTCATTACAAGAGTAGTTTTCAAATTTCTCACATCAAAGGAAATTGTGCTGAGAGCACAGTTTGAAAAAAATGACAAAATTAGCATGTGAGCCAAATATCAAAAAGGCAATTGGTAAGTTTACATGTTTATTGTCATTTTCACAAAATACTCAGGTTCCCTCCTTTATTATTGTTGTATTAAGTAACTAAGATTTCATTAAATTTTATGATCGTAGTCTAAGAATAGATAAGTAGTAGCATCTGTTTAAAGTAAGTTTAAACAGTCTCTTCTTGTTTTTCAGATTTTTTGTTCAAGTTCTTGGTTATTGGAAATGCAGGAACGGGCAAGTCTTGCTTACTTCATCAGTTTATTGAAAAAAAATGTAAGTGACATCAAGTGGTCAGTGTCCCCCGTATGTCTTCTGCCGGTGCCCTCTTGCTCACATATGTCTTCCAAGTCTTTTTTCAGAAGAAAGGGTATAGTTTATAAATACTTAAAATAACATTAGACTTTTATACTGAACTCTTAGTAAAAGATTGAGTTTTACTAAGTTAGCATATTAATTATATAGTGGTTCAACATTCAGCATATAGTTACTCATAACTGTACATCTTCCAGATACAAAGCTAGACACGGTGATGTGGAAGGCAGTCAAGGAATTCCATCTCCTGAGAGGGAGCCTCCCAGGAAGCCTTTAAACTACCTTTTGGATAAGATGATGTTTGGTCCTCGGTGGCCTTGTTTTGTAGTTAAGGCAGGTGTTGTCCTCAGTTCTGCTTTGCAGGTGAAGAAAAGAGGTCTAGAGAAGTTGGTGTGTGCTCTGGGGTGCTCACTTAATAGCTTGGTAGGCACATACCCAGGACTTTTGACCACAGAACCCGTCTTTTGCCATTGACTTGCACTGTTTTGGTGAGAGAGGTTGATTTTTTTTGTTACAAAATATAGTAACAGACTATAGGCTGAAAATGCCCTTCAAGTAAAGTGCTTTCTTAGTAACAGGAAGAATTGTGGAGAGCGACCTCCTTTGTGGCAGTCAGGTCAAGGCACAGACACCATTTGTTTCATTTCATGAAGTGCTGCTTAAGCAAGTGCACAAGATATCTGAGTGGTGGGTAAAGTGGTGAAAGAGACAGCTCAGGTGACTTGGCAAAGAGCTTTGAAGAATACATTTCTAAAAATGCATTCTGCTACTTCCGTCTTCATCAACCAAAAGAACAAGGTCACTAGCCCTCCATTTAGTGACGCCAACCAGCATGAGTTGGTCACAGAACCAGCCTTTATAAGTGTAATGAGTATTTACTCACTGAGCAACTGGTTTTCCTTCTAAGACTTTGCATTGGACCCTCTCAGGAAAAACTAGCCAGAAGGTATTCAGGGCAAGTACCCAGGTTCTTAGTCTCTCCCTCCTCTGTGGTGAACTCTCCCTGCTAATCCTCCTCTGCTCCTCACAAGGGAGACCTGCATGCTTGCTTGGTTGGTCTCTGTGGCCTACAGCAGTAAGGGAAAGGTTTTACTTTCTTTATCTTGTGGCCATGTCAAGTCAGGATGCCCTTGGCCTTGGCTGTCACGCCTTGAAGACTTGTACTCTAAGGTTTGCCTCATAGTTTGTTCTAACAGAATGTCCATACCAGTTCTACACCATCTGGGCATGTGGCAGGTTGGCATAGTTCTCTCTCTCTCTCTCTCTCTCACACACACACACACCAGAAAACAATAAACACAACTGTCAGGTGGCTGCTATGATTTCTGATACAATTACATTTCATCCTACACTTACAAGAAAGACATAATCAATGGGCCATGTAGTCAAGACATTTGATTTTACCTTATCCTCTCATCATCACAGATATTTACACTTACAGATAGCTTATTCCAGGAAAGTACTCTTTTGCTTGCCTCCCTGCCCATTCAAACAGATAGTATGGATTTCTCTAACAAATTAATCCCAAATAATGGCTGCACAATACTAAAATTCATGGAACACCATGGATGCAGCATGCAGAGTTTTTGTCTTTGAGATTGTTTTGAAATTTTTACTCCATCTCTTCCTCTTTTCCCCTTCATCTTTGGTGCCCATCAAGTTTCTTTTGTGGGCCTCAGTGCTTTTCCTTCTTTTCACTTTTATGCCTTTAGAATATCTGTCCATTCAAATAGCTGAAACTGTTAGCACCTCCTCATTGACCAACCTGCAGGTCTGGGCACTAAGTCCTTAAAAATGGTGCCCAGGTATTTTATATAGTCGCCATTTGTGATCACCTTGAAGTGAAGGGTGGGTGTGCTTCTTGTTTGCTGTGGCCCCCTCCAAGCTTAGGCTTTAAAATGTTTGGCTTGTTTTAGGGCTTTTGAGAAAAAGCACTATTGCCTTTTGGAGAATTGAGACTATGTGTATTCTGTTTAAAACAGCGAGTGCTTCTTACCAGCTGACTGTCACAGAAATGAACAGCTAATGGCAATTATATTTTCCATTAAAACCCTGGATTTTAGTGTAACTTATTTATATCTGTAAAACTCTATCCTTAATGTTTTAATACTAAATCTCTTGTTGTTTTTCTTTTTCAGTCAAAGATGACTCAAATCATACAATAGGAGTGGAATTTGGCTCAAAGATAATAAATGTTGGTGGCAAATATGTAAAGTTACAGATATGGGATACAGCAGGCCAAGAACGATTCAGGTAGTTTTTTCTCTAACTTAGTAAAAATATTTGAAAATCGAATTTGAAATAATCAATTATATTCAGTTAATATATATACTTCTGGAAGTTTTAAGATTAACCAAAAGTCATTTTGTTTCTCCATGTAACATTAACTTTCTAAAGAAAGCATTAGAATGTCTTTCAAGTGATTTTATTCTAGTTCAGAGGTGAACTTATTTTGTGGGACTAGTGAGTACATTCAAAGGATATGGTATTGTATATTCCAAGTATACTTCTAGGTTAAAATCAAGGCAAAGAAATAGCACATGCAATTGTTCACTAAGGGAGAATTTTTTAGGTGTCTCTAGGGGTTTTGTCTGGTTTCACACTAACTAGAGCATGTTCTAATGATTGGCATATTATCCACAAGATGTTTTCTCCCTCACACCTTTATCACACTGCAGTCATAGTTGAGGTTTGGAATGATGGCCCCAGGTTGCTGCACATAAGCATATGTGTTTACTATTCTGCAACTACTAATAAGAAAGATTAATATTTTAGTTGTATTTTTTTAAACAGGTACACAAGTCAAAACTGAACAGATACTAAGTTTCAAAATTCAGTTAAATAAACTCACTCCCACTGCAAGCATTTCACTTAATGTTAGGTAGACATCCATCTCTTAAATGCTCAGTATTTGTTCACAATAATTTCTCTAGAAGGACTGATTAAACATGGTAGACATCATTCCAGCATGAACATCTTCTCACCTCCAGAACCCTGCTGAAGTTACTATAAAATACCCAAAATAACACTAACTGAAGAGGACAGAGATCGGGAGAGTACACAGTTACCATTAAGAGATTTGGGGGGAAAAAACATTAAAGCCAGAAAGTGGTCGCACAGTGACTGCCTGACGCAGAGAGATCGGCATCTCAGGGCTTGTAGTGGGGAAGGTCAGCCAGCCTTTTCTTTCTGCTGAATCCATAAAAGATCAGGATTTGGAAACATTTGGGAAGGTTAAAGTGTGTGTGTGTGTGTGTGTGTGTGTGTGTGTGTGTGTGTGTGTGCGCGCGCGTGCGCGTGCACCCAGTGAGAGGTTCAGTCTCTGAGTTGAAATAGAATCTGGACCCAGGGTGACAGGTACAGCAGAGAGTAGGGATGAGGTAAGGAGAAAAGAGGAAGATTCTATAGTCACACCCCCACCTCCCCCAACTCTCCCCTACGTGCTGGCAGCCAGAGTATCTCAGACAAGAGAAAGGATTGTTCTTTGTAGAAAACTAAATGGCACCAAAGTGTTAGGGGGAAAAGGATGTCCTAAAGCTAATTTCAAACAGGCTTTGTGGACTGGTTTTCTTTCACACTGGAACCTGGTAAAAATGTTCATCTGAGACTGCATCCCAACATCCATATATTCGATCTTCATCACCATGGAAATGGTGGCATAAAGTGAAAGGGGGGAATTGTTAGGGGGAAAGGATGTCCTGAGCTAATTCCATACAGGCTTTGTGGACTCCACCCCCACCCCAGACCAAAGCCAAAGACACTGGGAACTCCAAATCCCATCACCACCAAAGGGAAGGTGGCTGGGACCTGAGGGTGGGGTTAAGCAGCCAGGTTGGTATAAAACCAGACACGTGGGCTTTGGAGGGTTCCCCCATTTTGACTCTCCACCACCTCGCAGCGTCCAGCCAGCTCGGAGAGTACATTTTGGGTTTCTAGGTCAGCAGATCGGGTAGGACGCATTAAAGACTTTATTTCCCTATTTTCTCCCTGAGTTGTACATTTTCCTTATTTCCTTTTCCCTTGTAAATAAACCTTTTATTAACCTTTTTTTTTTAATTAATAAATTTTATTTTTATATTCCCCATACAATTGCAATCCCCCCATTCTGACCCCAATCCCTCCCCTCCCGCCCCCCACCCCCCAAAAAGTGTCTCTGGTTCATAGTTTTTGTTGATTTTGATTTTCACTTTCTTATAGTTATTCATTTTCCTGGTCCCTTATTTAAGTTTTCTAGATCCCTGCTATGAGTGAGACCATCCGGTATTTTTCTTTTTCTTTTTGGCTTATTTCACTGAGCATGATCCCTTCCAGCGTCATCCATGTTGCTGCAAATTGCATGTATTTATCTTTTTTGAATGCTGAGTAATATTCCATGGTATATATGTACCACATCTTCTTGATCCAGTCATCTATTTTTGGGCATTTGGGCTGTTTCCAAAGCTTAGCTATTGTAAACAGTGCTGCTATAAACATAGGGGTGCAGGTGTTCTTTGGAATTGATGTTTCTGTGTTCTTTGGGTAAATACCTAGGAGTGGAATTGCTGGATCCTGTGGAAGCTCTATGTTTAGTAGGTCCAGAAATCTCCACACTGCTCTCCATAGTGGTTGGACCAGTTTGCACTCCCACCAACAGTGCAGAAGAGTTCCTTTTTCTCCACAACCTCGCCAACATTTGTTGTTGCTAGTTTTTTTAATATGTGCCATTCTCACTGGTGTAAGATGGTATCTCATGGTAGTTTTGATTTGCATTTCCCTGATTGCAAGTGATGTTGAACATTTTTTCATATGCCTGTTGGCCATTCGCATTTCCTCTTCAGAGAAGTTTCTTTTTAGTTCCTCTGTCCATTTTTTGACTGGATTATTTTCTTTGTTGTTGTTGAGTCTCATCAGCTCTTTGCAGATTTTTGTGATCAGTCCTTTATCATTAGTGTTGGGTGCAAAAATTTTCTCCCAGTTGGTGGGGTTTCTCTTTGTTTTTGTTATTGTCTCTTTTGCTGTGCAGAAGCTCTTTAATTTGATGTAGTCCCAGCTGTTGATCTTTGCCTTCACTATCACTGCTTTGGGTGATGTGTCTGTAAAGATGTCTTTGATATGCAAATCACGTAGTGTTTCGCCTATATTTCCTTCTATGTATTTTATGGTTTCAGGTCTTATGTCTAGTTCTTTAATCCATTTTGAGTTGATTTTTGTATATGGTGTGAGGTAGTGGTCAAGCTTCATTCTTTTGCATGTAGCGACCCAGTTTTCCCAGCACCATTTATTGAACAAACTTTCTTTGCTCCAATGCATAGTCTTTGCTCCTTTGTCAAAGATTAGTTGACCATAAATCTGTGGGTTTATTTCTGGATTTTCTATTCGATTCCATTGGTCTGTATGTCTGTTCTTGTTCCAATACCATGCAGTTTTGATGATTATGGCTTTGTAGTAGAGTTTGAAGTCTGGGAGTGTGATGCCTCCATTCCCTTCTTTTTTTTTTCAGGAGAGCTTTGGCTATTCGGGGTTTTTTGTGATTCCATATGAATTTCATCAATAATTGTTCTATTTCTTTGAAGAATGACATTGAAATTTTGATTGGAATAGCATTGAATCTGTATATTGCTTTTGGTAGGATGGCCATTTTAATAATGTTTATTCTCCCAATCCATGAGCAGGGGATGTCTTTCCATTTCTTTGTGTCTTCTTCTATTTCTTTTAACAGTGTTTTATAGTTTTCTTTGTATAGGTCCTTTACCTCTTTTGTTAGATTTATTCCCAAATATTTGATTTTTTTTGTTTCAATAATAAAAGGGATGGTTTTTTTGATTTCTTCTTCTTCAGATTTATTGTTTGTATATAGGAAGGCTACTGACTTTTGCGTGTTGATTTTGTATCCTGCCACTTTACTGAACTGATTGATGAGTTGAATTAGTTTTTCTGTGGCGTTTTTGGGGTTCTCTATGTATATTATCATATCATCTGCAAAGAGTGATAGTTTGACTTCTTCTTTTCCTATTTGGATTCCTTGGATGTCTTTCTCTTGTCTTATTGCTCTGGCTAGGACTTCCAGTATTATATTGAAAAGCAGTGGTGAAAGTGGACATCCTTGTCTTGTTCCAGATCTTAATGGAATTGCTTTCAGCTTTTCACCATTGAGAATGATACTGGCTGTTGGCTTGTCATATACGGCCTTTATGATGTTGAGGTACGTTCCTTGTATCCCAAGAATTTCAAGGGCTTTTATCATGAATGGGTGTTGCACTTTGTCAAAAGCTTTCTCAGCATCTATTGATATTATCATATGGTTTTTATATTTCTTTTTGTTGATGTGTTGGATAACGTTGATTGATTTTCGGATGTTAAACCATCCTTGTGTCCCTGGAATGAATCCTACTTGGTCGTGGTGAATTACTTTATGGATACACTGTTGGATTCTGATAGCTAAAATTTTATTGAGGATTTTTGCATCAGTGTTCATTAGGGAGATTGGCCTATAGTTTTCTTTTTTTGTGTTGTCCTTGTTCGGTTTTGGTATTAGTGTAATGTTGGCTTCATAGAACGTGTTAGGTATTATACCTTCCTTCTCAATTTTTTGGAAGAGTTTGTGAAGGATAGGTACCAATTCGTCTCTGAATGTTTGGTAGAATTCATTTGTAAATCCATCAGGTCCTGGGCTTTTGTTTTTGGGGAGGTTTTTGATTACCATTTCAATTTCGCTAATTGTAATTGGTCTGTTTAGGTGTTCTATTTCTTCTTTATCTAGCTTTGGGTGATTGTAGAGTTGTAGGAATTTGTCCATCTCCTCTAGATTGTTAAACTTGTTTCCATATAACTGTTCATAGTAGTTATTAATAATTCTTTTGATTTCTGCTGTGTCCGTTGTGATTTCTCCTCTTTCATTTATTATCCTATTTATTTGTGCTTTCTCCCTTTTTGCCCTTGTGAGCCTGGCAAGGGGTTTATCTATTTTATTTATTTTTTCGAAGAACCAGCTCTTGGTTTCATTGATCTTTTGGATTGTTTTTTAGTTTCGATTTCATTTATTTCTGCTTTGGTTTTTATTATTTCTTTTCTTCTACTGGTTTTGGGGCTTTTTTGTTGTTCTTTTCTAGATCTTTGAGTTTCGAGATTAGGTTGTTTCTTTGAGTTCTTTCTTGTTTCTTGATGTGAGCATCTATTGCTATATATTTTCCTCTTATTACTGCTTTTGCTGCATCCCATACATTTAGGAAATTGGTGTCCTCCTTGTCATTCAATTCAAAGAATTTTTTAATTTC